TATCAGTTTTGCTGGCTGCTTCACACAGTATTTCTTTGCCATCTTTGTTGGGTCAACTGAGTTTTATCTTCTAGCCGTCATGTCCTATGATCGCTATGTGGCCATCTGCAAACCCCTGCATTACATGACCATTATGAACAACAGGATATGTACCCAGCTGGTTCTCTGCTCATGGTTGGCTGGGTTAATGGTTATCATACCACCAATCACCCTAATGAGTCAGCAGGACTTCTGTGCATCTAATAAACTGAATCATTATTTCTGTGACTTCGAGCCCCTTCGAGAAGTCTCCTGTTCAGATACAACTTTTGTAGAGAAGATTGTCTTTCTTGTGGCATCTGTGACTCTGGTAGTCACTCTCGTGCTAGTGATTCTCTCCTACACATTCATCATCAGGACTATTCTGAAGTTGCCCTCTGCCCAGCAAAGAACAAAAGCCTTTTCCACCTGTTCTTCCCACATGATTGTCATCTCCCTCTCCTATGGAAGCTGCTTTTTCATTTATATTAAGCCCTCAGCAAAAGAAGGGGATGCATTCAACAAGGGAGTAGCTCTACTCATTACCTCAGTTGCCCCTTCATTGAACCCCTTTATTTACACACTAAGGAACCAACAGGTAAAACAAGCCTTCAAGGATACCATCAAAAAGCTTGTGAATCTTTAAATAATTTCAGAATTCAAGTCCTAATGGAAGAATCTCTACTATGTACCAGTTATTTGGCATCCAGCCCAGCATGCCACTGCTGTTGTTAAGTGCCATCGAGTCAGCTCCAACTCTGTATAGGGTTTCAAAGGAGCAGCTGGTGGCCTTGAACCTCTGACCTTAGGATTCTCAGTCCAGGGCTTATCCTACAGTACCACACTGGGACTCTGGTCCAGTAAGAGAGACTTGGAAAGAAATCATAATCTGTTAAGTGTTTATCCAAAAAAAAAAAATGAATGAATGAATAAAGTTGTTGTTTGGTTGATTTTGGAAAAGGTAGATTTTTAATAACTGCATTATCACCAGGTTAAGTTATGCAGTTACAAAATAGTTAGAAATTTCTGAAAGAGTATTATTGTGTTGTTGTTTTTTTTAAAGGGTACTCACTCATTACATAAACAATATCTAGAGTTTCATTGGGACACTACTAGGCCCTGGCCACACAACTCTCAACACAACACTCGATCCAATGTTGTTTTCAGCCAGACTTTGTTCATTCAATTTGTAGACAGACTGTGATGTGTCAAGGTCCTATATCGGGGTCCAGCCACGACAAGGAAGTGTGGGTG